AGTATGGCTTTGGCAACATTCTTCATATTGTACTTGACACTGTAGTAAAGTTACACAACTTGCTACTTCGTACAGATACAGCCATCCTTGCCTGAAAATCACCTAACTAGCCCTGCATGACCATTAAACCATTTGCTAAAGTGTAATGAGCCTATACTTTGTTTCACATGGTAGTTCAGGACTTTCTTGTGCAATGGGTTACTACTTTGCAAGGAGGCATTACTATAAAAAATGTTAATCTAATTTTCATATACCTACTAACCTTTTCAGATTAATGTCATTTTTATACACAATAATTAGTAATTAGCTAATTACCCTTTAACTAATGATGTTTTTATATCTGTCATATAATGTAAGTATGTAGCATTCTTGAATATTTTCTTACATCTATTTTTCAAATAATAATAATGTAATATCTGTAAAATGTATATGACACTACAATAATACATGAAATAATCAGTAAGCAAAAAATAACCTCAAAAATTAAGAAAATAGGTAATGACAAATGCTATGAATAGAATAAGTCCACTGCAATTAGGTGGGGGTGCAGGGGCAGAGCCCTCAGTATGGAAATATGGCAATCGGATGGGGGTCTGGAGGTGAAGCCCCTGGGTTAGGTAGGTTTTTGGTTCAAATGGTGATGTATGTGGATTTTCTAGGAATGGCTGGAGTAATAGGGGACTTAATCTCTGAGGGGTAAGGTCACTTCGAAAATCACTACTAATATTTTTCTCTATATCATTTGCAATGGAAAATTGAGGAGATTCACGTACATCATGGTGTTGATAATTGAAAGAAGGTATAATAACTGTAAGATTGGATGCTACATGAAACTAAAAAATTACCCATTATATAAGGAATTTCACGTTAAAGACTAAAGTGCCTTAATGAGGATTTTGTTTCCAAAAGCATGGCAGTTAACCCATTTACGACAGGTGTCCCATATATGAGACATCCGGAAAAATAAACATCACCAGGCTTCCCGCCAGTGTGATGTTGGATCGGACTTCGCACTCCAAATATGTCACAGACTGTGGCTGGCGCTCAGGCAGATTCCGGGCCAGCCCCGCACGTCAATTTTGTAGCCGCCCGGAAAATATTATTTTCGGCTTCAAAATATACCGTCGTTAGTGGGTTAAAGTTTAAAGCAGGAACAATTTAACCTTTCCTGCCTGCTATTTAAAGAGGCCCCCTGTACCCCCTTTATTAGCACTTCATGCTAACTTCTAAAAAATAGCCATTAAGAACTCAACAGTCATTTCACAATTAATATGAGGCCATAGCATCTGCACCTGCTCAAGACATGAAGACAAGCACACAGACTTAGAATCATGTATAAAATCACAAACAACCTTATACACATCAACAAACACAAATACTTACAAGCAGCACACTCATGCAACACAAGGAACTCACACACCAGTAAATTTGTCACATATCACACCAACACTGACTCTTACAATCACTCATTCTTCCCACGTACCAAATGCAATTGGAACAGGCTCCCCTAACACATAATTGAAACTAAAACACTCAACACTTTCACAAACAAACTAAACGAACACTTAATGCTACAAGCATCTTCACAAACACTGACACTTCCACTTGCACCGTAATCCTTACCCATTCCACCCAGCAACCAACCACCAATATGCGTGTTATGCATTCATTAGAGCCCTTCGCAGAACTATTGAGATTGAGATCGAGATTATGACTAATTCTTATGCTCTATAAGTTGGCAGTGTCCATTTCCCTCTACCTCTGTCATCACTCATAGTAACATTAACCAAATACCCCAGGGGATGAGGGTCCAGGGCCATCCCCTTAATAGACCGATTCGGTAACGCATAGCAACCACACCTGATAACTTGGTGAAAACAAACTCTCATTCGTTCTAAAACTCAATGTGCGCACTTACAGTTTCACTGTGTTGATAGAAGAATTTTAAGTTCATTTGGGTGAAAATACCGAGGAGCTGTGTAGCCATTGGTTGTTGGAACTACAGCACGATCAGAAAGAAACATTTAACCTTTCACATATTCCCAGATCGCAAGAAGAAAACCAAAAAATGAAAGCAATGGGTTCAGGCCATGAATCGCTGATGGGACAGCTTGGACACCTGGTGGGAAAATATGTTTACATTAGAAATAGAAAACATGTAATAAATTAATACATCGATTGATTAAACTCAATAAAATGTTCTAGGCAGATGTAATCATATTTTTCTCTGGGCACCCAAGCACTCATCGTTTACACGTTCTGTGGCCTGAACAAATTGCTTCACTTTTTTTAGTTTCTCCTCGTGATCTGGAAATATGTGAAAGGTTTCTTTCCCATCATATTGTGGTTCAAACAACTACCAGCTATACAACCCCTTGGCATTTTCATGCCAAAGAACTTTAAATACTTGGATTAGCAAAGTGAATCCATAAGCACGCAGTAATTTTTGAATGAACAAGGGTTTGCTTTCACCATATGCTTGTTAGGTACGGTAATTGGT